GTCATTCTCCCCTTGTACTCGGCCTTGGTGAGGCCGCAGCTGGAGTACTGCATCCAGTTTTGGGCCCCACAATTCAAAAAGGATGTGGAGAAGCTTGAGAGAGTCCAGAGAAGAGCCACGCGCATGATCAGAGGTCAGGAAAACAGACCTTACGACGACAGGCTGAGAGCCATGGGGCTCTTTAGCCTGGAAAAGCGCAGGCTCAGGGGTGATCTGATGGCCACCTATGAGTTTATCGGGGTGACCACCAGGATCTGGGGGAGTGTTTGTTTACCAGAGCGCCCCAAGGGATGACGAGGTTGAATGGTCATAAACTACTGTGAGACCGTTTCAGGCCGGACATAAGGATGAATTTCTTTACTGTCCAAGCCCGCAAGGTCTGGAGCAGCCTGCCATCAGAGCTGGTTCAAGCAGCTACATTGAACACCTTCAAGAGCAAACTGGATGCTTATCTTGCTGGGATCCTATGACCCCAGCTGACTTCCTGCCCTTTGGGCGGGGGGCTGGACTCGATGATCTTCCCAGGTCCCTTCCAGCCCTAATGTCTATGAAATCTATGAAATCTCTGGTCATTGGATTTATTCCTTCCTGAGCTGGAGAGACAAGCCAGCAGTGTGCAGCCCCCGTATGGCTTACTTCAGCGAGAGAACATTGCGTCTACAAAGGGAGGCATTTGTGAGCGAGCCTTTGGCAGCAGAGCAAAGAAGTGAGTTGCAGGGCAAGGAGGAAAAAGCCGATAAGGGGGAGGGCAGCAGAGGCAGGAAGAGCCTCAAAGATTGGTGCAAGAAGCTTGAATTTGGTCCAGTGAAACTGGAGAACCAATGGAGAGCCAAAAAGGTGAAGGCGGGGGAGGACGCAATGTGTGCGGGGAAAGCCAGAGAGGAAATGGCTGCAGTGGTCAACACATCGATGGAAGATGGCCGGGAAGAACATTTTGGTTGGCTGAAGAAAGAGGGACAGAGACTCTGGAGAGGATGTCGGGAAGATCTGGAAAGGTTTGGACTGGCTGTGCAGAAAGGGAGATGCCAGAAGGTACAATGGGCTTTTTAGGGCCCATTGGAGGACGATGAGAAGGAAGATTTTGCAGAGCATGAGCCAATGTTTTTCCAGGCAAGAGTGAAAGATGCTGCCTTGCGGGGCGGTGCTAGGGTGCAGCTGGGCCTGGCTGCCTGCACGCTCAGCTCACACCATGTACCCAGCATGCTTGGGCAGTTACAGGAGCTCTGCTGTCCTATTCAGATTCCTATTTAGTTCTCACGATGGGGAGCAAAAGTTTCCAGCGTGGCCAGGAACAGAGGTTACCAGCAGGCTGAACAGTGGGAACCCCCCACCCACATCCAGCCCACTGGGCCTCTGCTCTATGCAACCAATTAGGGCACTGCTGATTGGGTTGGGAGATAAAATGGAGAAGAGATCTGGGAGGTGAGACCTGCTAGAGGTGGGAAATAAAGGTGGAAGGAAACACAGATGGGAAGGAATTAGAAAGTGGGAATCAAAGGAGAAAAATGAACAACAGAAATAATGGTAGCCTAAGAGTCAGCAGAGTCCCCCCGGAGGGATGCAGAATGTGCCGACAGATCATTTCTTCACTATTAGGCAAGAGAAAATCCCAGCTCAGCCCCACTGATTGCAACAGGAACAGAGACAGCACAGACAGGAGGTGCTGTACTGTAGCATCCTCCTGCTGAGCATAGGCAAGCAGCAAAACGACCTCTGGGTTGCACTACTCCCCTACCCCAATTATTTCTGTGTTAATTGTGTTCCTGTTGCAATAATGCTGCAGCTGGCGCGTGGGGAAAGAAGGGGTAGAGAGACAGCGAAAGCAGAGTTTCTGGCCTACGGGACAGAAGGCACGCGCCTCTGCAGAGAACTGAACAGCTTTACTGACACTTCAACAAAAGCGGGGAGTTGCAGATAATACCTAGGGGACCTCCAGGGGGGAGAGCCCATGGACAAGCAGGGGGTTGTCTGAAGGAGACAGAGAGCAGCAGAGCAGCTCTGGGGACTCGAGAGCCCTGGGGCTCATGACCTGGGCAGCCTGGAAAGAGAAGAGCAGAGCAGGCTCTGGGGGGGCTCTGGGCTGCGTGGGCTGGATTGGGGACACAGGAATAGCTCCCCATTTCAGCGCAGGGGCGGTTTTATTGAAGCTGAGCTGCATGCCTGCTGCTTGAAAGTTGGGGTTGTGCTTCTGCTCCCCAGCACAAAGTAACACAAGGTGATGCCAGCTCCTGGAGTGAGGGCCACGGAGACACGGAGAGGGTGCCAGCTTCCCGTGATAGCTCTACCCCAGGCAGCAATGGCAATACATCCACTAGAAGGGAAGCCCTGTTGGCTTCTACCTCTTTATAGAAACTCAGCCTTGGGCAGGAAAACAGCATCTGAGTTTTCCCCAACAGCGGGATCAGCCAGTACCTGGGCACAGGGTCCTTCCAGTCCCCTCGCTTGTTTGCCTTATTAGCTCTTGAGAACTCGTTAGCCCGGACGCTGCCGAACATGCCAAAATGGAAGCGCAGCCAGTTCCGAGAGCCGACGGCCGCATCCTGGTCCTCAGGATCCTGCTCCCTTTGCAAATGCTGCTCCTCCACACTTCTCTGAGGGTCAGAAGCTGCCCACGCCTGTCCCTCCTGGGCATGTGCCCCACTGCCGGCCTCTCCCGGGACAGCTGCCTCTTTGTCCACAGGTGCCTGAGACGGCCCTTCGGGCAGGACCTGTGCTTTCACAGCAGTGCCAAATGCCAGGAACAAGTTCTTTCCATGGGCCTAAAAAAAGAGGGGGACAGATCAAGGATGCCCAAAGTAAACACAACTCCCTGGAGGGAGGGAAGGTAGTTAACAGTGGGAACAAGAGACAGAAACTACATGCACTGGAGCCATCCCATCAAGTGTACCTTGGCTTGCCAGGCCAAAAGGTGGGGCATTTGGATAGGCAAGAGCACACCCCCATGCCAGGGATCCCAAAAGGCACCGAGTTTGCGTGCAGCACACAGCCCTCGTGCTCGGAGGCCACGTGCAATCACAGCTGCTCGCCCTGCTGGCACGGACAACAAGAAGCAAAGAAACTGTGCATCTTGGACTATGACTTTATGGGTCTTTAGCCAGTCACCTCTCCGCTGGCTGCAAGAAAAGGGTCTTCTCTTATTCGCCTCACCTTCAGTTACGGTGTTAATGGCACAAGCCACCAAACAGCTCTCAAATGGGAGTTATTTTTGGTTACTACATGGCCTGGGCAGGATTGGGCACCTTTTAGAAGAAGAGTATCCTTCTCCTCCCCGCTCATGGCAGGCTGGGCGTGATGGGGCCTGTTCATCACAAAATGAGATCTACGATCCTGGCAGCATGAATTTTAAACTAGTGACTTCCTTTAGGTCAAATCCTGAGGTTACAGTCATTTATAAAGATAACCAGAGGAACCTCAGACTATCCGAAGGCTTGCGTGTTCCTCAATTGTATGTTCAAATCAGAGATACTGATATCAGAGGCTTATGAAGCGAGGCAAAACCTTTTTCTGAACCAACAGATACAGTTGACGGAGAGGAGAAACAAGCTCTCGGGCTTCGAGAGCTCTTCATCAGGTCTCTGTAGACGTCAGGGATCTCTGGAAGGAGCCGAAGAGGCGAGTCAACGATCTCTGCTGCCCCTATATGAAACATCCCTGAGCAAGGGCAGGGAGGAAAGGTGAATCTAATACCAACTTCTGCCTTCTGGGCAAGAGGACGGGCGTAAAAGTACTACTCAGAAGCCAGTAAGACTTCCCCTCCCTTTTGTGCAGTAGCAGGGAGGTGAGGAGGAGAGGACACACCTTCTCCCTGAGACCTCACGCACATCACTGCTGCGCCAACAGCTTCCACCACAGCTCGTATTTTATTCGTCACTGTGCATGCTGGCAGCTCTCTGCAAGAGCCTCTGAGGATGCTTTGGCCTTGGAAGATGATGGACCAAAGGCTCAACTCCCACTGGGGAGTTAAATTTGTCCAGAGTGCCAACCATTTGGAAAGCAAAAGCTTTCTGGGTAACTGCACATGCACAGTCTTGCTCCACCTGAACCTTTTCAGGAGCTCAGTCTTACAAGTACAGATGGAGCCAGACAGAGCCACCTGTGAGTGCCCAGGGGTCACCACTCAGAGGTGCATTTCTATTTTTCCTTGTAGCCATGGTAGGTAGCCCTTCAGCCTGTCTATAGCCAAGTTAATCTCTCGCTGCCCTGCCTTATGGTAACACACTCCGTGTTGGCCAGGCCAGTGCTCCAGTGTGAAAAAGGAGCGGGTGTCTGTGTCTGAGCCGACATGCACAGACAAGGCTGCCTTTCGGCGCGACTCACCTGGGAGTCCTGGAGCTCCAGTCCTTGCAGCTCATTCAGGCTAATCTGTCGGCTGCTTCCTCCTGCCTTGGCCACCACCTGCCCCACGAAAGGCGAGGTCAGCAACTGGAACTTCCTCACGGACGGGCCTTCCGGCATCTCCGGCGCCGTCAAGGGAGCAGCAGGGGCACCGCTGAGATGCCTTGAGCCAGGTCACCCGACTGCTGAGGAACGTAGACAGTGATTCTCCCCATCTCCATGCACCCCCGAAATCACGTGCTCAGTCTGTTGGCTGCAGCAGTCTCCAACCACGCAGACTGTACCAATGCCCCTGTTTCAGATCAAACCGCTTCATGATGCCAGCGCCACTCAGCTGCAGCAGCATGAGAGCAGATTGCAAGTATATCAGGGTAGAGGTGCTCATTCCTGGCAGCGACTGCTACACTACGTTAGTTCCACCAGTTTCAAACCACTGGCGTTAACAGTGCAAATCTGGGGACCAGACATGCCCACCAAGTCACAGAGGAGGTGGGTGAGCAAGGGGCCTCCGAGCTGCCTGGTTTCCTACCCTGACTCCTAGGGGCTTCTACTGATCTTAAAAAAAATGCAAATCCCACCGTGCATCACCGATCCCGTGCTGGGGCGGTTGAAATCTCCGTGCACCGAGAACACACTTTTGTCGGAGCCCTGATACACTGGAGCACTGGTGGCCCAGACGCTAACTGGACAGGTTGCCTGTCTCCAATGGGTAGGGGGACACAAACCTTCACTCCTGGGTCACCCCTCTGTAACTAGCCACACTCCGGAGGAGCAGAAGGACACATTTTCCACAGAGCCTAAGTGACTTAGGAGCCTGAATCTGACTGAAAACCAAAGGAGAGTGTTTAAGTCATTCTGAACGTTCATTTAGACAACCCCAGCAAGGTTTGCAGGCTGGGTCCAGGCGCCAGGAGACTTTCATTCATTTAAATAGCAATAATAATTGCTGCCATTCACTAGGCGCCGTTACAGAAACCCCCCTGACCATGGTATTTCAACAGCACTTAGCATGAGAGGTGTCTGCAGAGCGGGCCTGAAATCCAGCCCCTCACGGTGTGCGAGCCGGGGAAGCAGGGGAACGAAAGGTTGGGGACCATTTTTAAATCCCCTTCATGCTCAGTGAGGCCAAGGGTTGGAGCCCTTGTAACCTGCCCAGCACAACGTTGTCCTATGCTGATCACCTGCCTTTGAAACAAGAAGTGCTGGGTCAGGAGAAGGCAACATGTCCTGGGGGGCAGGTCTGCACCCCCAGGGCGGGGAGCACCCCTGCTGCACCCCTGGCCAGGCCTGCTCAGTCCAACACCGAATGGCCTCTCCCTGGAGCAGTCAAGCGTTGAGCCACCCGTCGGTTGCTCAGTGCTCAATTGCTCCAGCGATGGGTGCAGCTGCAGCACAGCGCTGCACCCTGGGGAGGGAGGGGGGATATTTGCATATGCAAAATGGACAGGGAGCCCCAAATCCCTGCCCCTCCTTGCATGCCCAATTGCACCCCCAGCCCAGCCTGTGAGTCCCCAGCCCTCTGCTCCCCTGCCCAGCCCTGCTTCCCCACTCAGCTAAGCCCCTTCCCCTGCATCTGCCCCCTCCAGTCCTTTCCCCCCCAGCCCCCTCCAGCCTGCGGTCCAGGCTGCCCCTGCTCACCACTGCCCCCTCCACCTGCTTCCCCAGCCTGGCCTCCTGCCTAGGAAAAGCTGGGTCTCAACCTAATTGGCTGGCAGGTGGGCAAGGGGCGGGGCTTCCAGAACTGGGCACACCCACCCCACCAGTTCCCCCAGACCTGGAGACTGAACTGGGCAACGAGGCTGAAGTTGGCTCCTTGTTCCCGGTTCCTTATTCCCGGTTCCTTTTTCAAAGCTAATCTAGACCCAGGACAAACTTGTTATTCATGAATTCCACATCCTAAAGAAGGAGAATTTCATTAGCTATACATATGTACTAATTAACATGTAAAATCATATTGCACATCAAGTACAGAGCCCTAAATGAAGGTCAGATTAGGATGGGATTATGGAGCAAAATACTTTTTGGACCACTCCAAATTTCGTGGCAATGCCACTGGGGAACTGTCCCAAAGACCCCTGACCACAGTCCCGCCCGGCCCAAAGCACGGCTTGGCCGTGCCAGGCTGCCAACTACCAGCCCCCATGCCCACTGTACTAAGTATAATGCTTTGAATAAGGAACTAGCTTTCAGGCTGGGGTTATGGCTAGAAATCCTGCTTGAGCCACCCATCAGAATAGCTCTGTGCCACTGGGGGACTGTCCTGGACACCTCCGAGCAGAGGCTTGCCCAGCCCAAAGCACAGTTTGGCCATGCCAGGAGACAGCACCCAAGCCAATGTGCTAAGTATCTGGACCCAAATAAGGAACTGGATTTTGGGCAGCAATTATACCCAGAAATCCTTCTTGGGCCACCCCAGACCACAGCTACTTGGCACTGGGGGGCTCTCCTGGACACCTCTGAGCAGAGACTTGCCCAGCCCAAAACACGGTTTGGCCGTGCCAGGGTGCGAAAAGACAGCACCCCAGCCACTGTGCTACATTAATGGACCTGAATAAGGAACTGCATTTTGGGCTGGGATTATACAGCCTGGACTTCAGGAGGGCAGACTTCAACAAGGTGAGGAGACCAGTGGGGGAGGCACTGAGGTCCCCAAGCAGGGGGGAGTTGGGTGTCCACAGAGAGTGGTTGCTCCTTCAGGAGACAATCCTCCAAGCCCAAAGGGAGGTAATCCCAACACGGATCAAAGGGAGCAGAAGGGTACACAAGCCCCCACAGCTCACCAAAAGCATCCTGGAACGTCTCCTAGCTAAACGGGAGGCGCACACCCAATGGCAGGGAGGGGCCATCCCCAGGGAGCACTACACTGCGGTTGCTCAGGGATGCAGGGTGGGTCAGGAAGGCCAAGGCAGAGATGGGACTGGGACTAGCTTCCCAGATCCAGGACAACAAGAAGTCCTTTTTTAAATACATAGGGGGCAAAAAGAAGGTACCGGGTAACGTGGGGCCCCTGCAAGACACGCTAGGAAATTTGGTCGTCACACCAGATGACAAAGCTAATCTATTTAACGATTTCTTTGCCTCCATTTTCCTGAGCTGGGACCGGATCAGCCCCCCCACAGGCCCCCCTCAGGCCCCAGGGGAGGCGCACCCAGGCCAAGGGTAAGGGGGGATCTAGTCAGGGAACGTCTGGAGGGACTGGACTTATTTAAATCAGCCGGTCCGGACGATCTCCACCCCCGAGTGCTGAGGGAATTGGCTGCGGTCATTGCGGGACCCCTGGCACGGCTGTACGAGCACTCGTGGTGCTCTGGTGTGGGGCCAGAGGACTGGAAAAGGGCCAGTGTGGTTCCCATCTTCAAGAAAGGGAGGAAGGAGGACCCGGGGAACTATAGACCTGTTAGTCTTACCTTGATCCTAGGCAAGCTGTTTGAGAGACTTATCCTGGCCCATGTCCATGAGGGGCTGGGGAGGGGATCATGCTTAGGGGCAACCAACACGGGTTCATTCGAGG